GCGAAATCTGACCGTAGAATTGAATGGATAAGAGCCGAAAGAATAAATCATATTCCACCATAAAGTGATAGATGGGTGGCTCTTTAGGCGTGGGCATTCATAACGTTTCAACAGAGAATTCCCTGGTTTCTCTGTTGCAGACTCTTGACCTCCAAGGGCGTGCCTGTGAAGATCGTGATCATGCTGGGGTCGACGGCGAGGAGCGGCACCAGCCTCCTCGGGGAGCTCCTGTCGCAGCAGAAGAATGCCCTGTACCTCTTCGAGCCCGAGCTCTTCGTGAGACAACACTCGGGCCAGAAGGTAGGGCGCGGGTGTTGTGACGTGCCGGCGCTTTCGTGCTTTCAATGTGCTCGGGATTTGTCTCTCTCTCTCTCTCTCTCTCTCTCTCTCTCTCTCTCTCTCTCTCTCTCTCTCTCTCTCTCTCTCTCACTCACTCACTTTCTCTCCCTCATTCTCTCTCTCTCTCACTCTTTCTATCTCTCCCTCTAACTTTCTCTCCTTCTCCCTCTTTTTCTCTCTTCTCCTCCCTCTTTCTCTTTCTCCCTCTCACTCTTACTCCCTCACCCTCCCCCTCACCCTCCCTGTCACTCTCATTAAAAGACTTCTACCATTAAGCCATGACTGCACATACGAATTATAATGATCTTTCTTCTGGTGCAAGGAAATATTACTTCGGTCTGTGGGTTAATCGAGCTTGGTGAAAGTTAATTGTGCTGAAGCTTATTGAATCAGTAAATCATATCAACATTGCTAACCATATTCCAACAATGCATTCTCAACACCTAATAAAGCATGCAGTCCGTTCCTTTTTAAAAGGTCGAAGCAAGTTACAGTGTCTAGTTGCGGTCGATAACCATTTGCAGGATATGGAACCTCTGGCAGTGATGTAGCGCTGAAGTATTAACCATGCAAGTAAAATGTGTGTGTATGTATATATATATATATATATATATATATATATATATATATATATATATATATATATATATATACATATATATATAAAGATATAATGTATATATCTATATATGTAAAGATATAATATATATGTATGTAGGTGGCGAGCTTAGGGGTAGATACATAGAATAACTTTAGCATACATATTTCAGTTACAATATATATATAAAGCTGGGTTATATATACATATATATACATATATATGTATGTATATATATACATACGGTACACACATATATCTTCTTTTTTATGTGTATGTGTGTGCGTGTGTGCGTGCGTGTGCGTGTGAGAGAGAGTACGTGATCCAGGGTGTCGAAACTGTACTATTGTGGATTAACTGAAGGCACCAAGGAGTTAAACATTTAGACTGTGAGTGGAGGGTAAATAGAAAAAAAATACGAAAAAAGGAGACATAGCATAGATGCGAATAATCGGATTTGTGCATAAATACTTATTAAAGAAGAGCTAAGTCCCATAACGCGAATCGGAAAGTGGAAAAAAAAGAATGATGATGATAAACGGAAAAAAATAGCAGCAAACCAGCAAATCCAAAGAGAAGCTTACTAATCAACGAACCCACATCCGCACCAGGTAAACCTCTCTCTCTCTTGGCATTCTAGGTGACGCAAGAGCTCGGCATGAAACACATGAAAGACATGATCTACTGCCGATTTGACGAAACTTTCATCACTTTCCTGCACCGTCGTTCTTCCCCCTTTAATATCTTCCGCCATCCTGTTACCAAGACGAACTGTCGCAATTGGGACTCTTGCCTCACTATTCCCAAGCTGACGGAGGCGTGCAGGGCGGAGCCGACGAGGATCATGAAGGTAGGGGGGGGGGGGGTGAGGGGGTAAGGGCCGGGGGAGTGGTGGGGGGGCTGAGAATGAAGGAGGGAAAAAGGAAGGACGCGTCGTGCAAAATAGGTCTGCTTTCGTTTTTGTTTTGTTTTGTTTTGTGTGTGTGTGTAACTTACTATTACCCTTAAGAGAAAATATCCGTTCCAGGTGATCCGTCTGCGCATGGCCTGGATGAGGGAACTGCTGGACGACCCCAAGTATGACGTGAGAGTCGTCCACCTGGTGCGCGACCCCCGGGGATCCCTCTACTCCATGGCCAAACTCCACCTGCACAAGCTCATGCCGGAGTACCACTGTCCCCTCATTTACGACGACCTCGTGAGCGCGCCGAAACTCATGGCCGAGTACCCGGGGCGCGTCATCTCCGTCACCTACGAGCAGTTTTGCCTCGATCCCGTTGGTCAGTTTTTGGTTTATGTCTCGTTAAGCGATCAGGCGTGTTTAACCTCTAGCCGTTCCTTAGGAAAATGTGTGCCTGTGTCCCCGTTATGGGAGTAGTATATTGAATGTTTATTTTCTAGTGATTAATTGAGTCTTTTCTCTGGTTATAAGGTCATTGCAGCACATGTTGGCAATGTAGTTCTTTATGGTGCGCTTAGCATAATACCTGGTTTATGTAATTTATGCTTTTTATTTTTTTATGCTTCCTATTCGCTGACAATACTGTTATCAACTTGCGCTGTAAAACTGAAGATCATAAACTACTATGGATGGATTTGTACTGCACGCATGCAAGCTGGTTGTTAACGTACATATTTCTAACGTTAAATATTTGCTTGGCTGCATTTCATATCGTACCATTCTCTCTCTCTCTCTCTCTCTCTCTCTCTCTCTCTCTCTCTCTCTCTCTCTCTCACACACACACACACACACACACACACACACACACACACACACACACAGAGAGAGAGAGAGAGAGAGAGAGAGAGAGAGAGAGAGAGAGAGAGAGAGAGAGAGAGAGAGAGAGAGAGAGAGGAGCTACTGAAGTTCGCGTTTATTGACCGTATACACCTCTTGGCTGCCATTGTCAACAAAATGAGGATAATTTTGATAATGAAGTCCTTTTTTTCAGTATATAAGCTAATATTGTCAATACAGGACCGATATGTTTCTCTTTCTTTCGTCGACATTGTGAATGCAGTATTCCCCTGGAAGTGACTGAAATATTTACATCTCATTCATCAATCAGCAAACATGTCAACAGTGAATTGCCATTCTCAAACATCATTCAAGGCCCCATTCATACCCGTTGCCTTTTCTCCCTCGCAGACACAGCAACACGGGTGTGGCGAATACTCTCTGGAGACGAAAGGGCGTCGCTCCCTGTCATGTGGTCGGAGTACATTGCAAAGCACGTTCATCGCACCTCCACCAAACGCATCGCCGCCTACGGTACCTTCCGGAACAGCGCGGAGCAATACCAGTCCTGGCGCGACAACATTACGGAAGATGCGTTAACGAAGATCGAGGAACACTGCCAACCCTCGCTGGAGCTTTTAGGATATAACATCTTCGGTGATATAAAGAATGCGAGGAACCTGTCCGTGCCTCTCTTCGCAGAGTGAACGAGTCGAAGCTTCGAGCTCGGGTTCGCTAGGGTCGGAAAGCCTTCCAATTGTTCTTCGGGTAAATGTTTCGTATAATTTCGCGTCACAGTTTACGACGATAATGGTACTTTCCTGTCATCCTCTACTGTTCACATATATAGGGATAACTGTGCCGACTACCTCCCCTCCCTTTTTATAATCCACAATCTCGATACTGATAACAGGGGAGGGCCTCAAGAATATCCGGAAAACTACAGGTAAAATGTAAAGAAAAACGAGTTACATGTAATGTATATGCGAGAAAGGTCAGCAGTTCACCTACTGCAGGAGACCAAGCCCCTGTGATCCGCCACAAAGGGAGCTGCCGACCCCCAACTACCCTGAGAGACAACTTCCATAGCAGGATGGAGTGTAGGGCCGATCTCAAGATGGGGTACACTAGAGGCCTTTTTTGTAGCATCCCTAAACCCCTAACGTTGATGTTTGTCGTTGTATCACGGTCTCTACAAAACACAATGTCATCGAAGTTTGTACTGTCGTACAAAGTTTAGATAAAAGGATTTTTTTTTTATCATTTCACATATAAAAGTCAATAGAAAACCATGAAAGTACTTAAGTACTGGTATGATTTTTAACATGAATTGGAAAAAGAACCTGGCTACTCTGACGCTTTTATTGTGTATACACCACTCTTCACTTTGCAAGGCTGTGGAAAGTTTAGATGTTTTTCTCAGATTCAGTCAAAATATTTTTTTTTCTTATTACATACATTGTTCTTTATATGAAAAGTGGAAGATGCATAAAGTTTTGCATCTTATCGTATCCACCACGAGTGAGCTTCCTGTCCAAGTCAGACTACTGGGTAATTCCAGTGATATGAGAAAAAAATAACTCCTTTTCTCAAAACTGTATGTCAATACAAACCTCGATAATATCACGTTTTGTAGCGACTATGATACAACTTCAGATAATGTATCAGTGTAGACTTAGGGTTTTCGGAATGCTAAAGGACTATAGTGCTGGAGGCTACTCCCCCTGCATCGACGAAAATATAAGATTTTATACAAACATTAGAGGCCTATCTGCACGAGTGAGAACGGTCGGCGGGCACAACGTCGGGCTCCAGTAAAGGTGACGTCATTTTTCCTCGCGCCCAACCTTATGCCCGCTGATCCTACCCGCTCTTGAGGATCGAATAGTGCCCGGTGGTATAGGGAATAGAAGGAAATAAGTATAACCGCACAGAAAATACCAGTCTCTGATACTAAATGCCACGTAATATCGCATCATAACCATGTACTGTGTTCAGTGCCATCTATTGAGTGGGCAGAACAACAGGAGTTTCCCTTACTGCTGGCGACCACGCGGTAGCAATTCTAGAAGCCGTAAAGTGGGCACAGTGCAAGGAGTGCTGCTAGGCGTTCAGGGACTTAATGTGTGAAAAGTGTGATAACCACGAGGTTCTTCTCAAGCTGCCGTACTCGTGGTCTACTGAGAGGACTCGGGGTAGGTCCGGGCAGTCTGTTAAGCAGGCCTGAACACGATGAGGTTCCGGAGCGACTAAGGTCAGTGTCCTGTATCTGTGGAGGATGGGGTTTGGGGGGGGGGGTAGCTTCCTTTAGGGGGGTCGTGGGGACGCAGCTCCCTGCAATATGACAGGTTCTCTTCCTATGTTTCACTGCATCGTGCGTATTCTCGTTCATGTTCTTATCCCGCAATATTCGTGACAAACTCCATGCCCTCTCCTATTATCGGGACCGAGATCGTGGGTATAAGGGTGTTTCCTCGCAAGAGTGAAGCAAAAACGTCGTCGTGAAGCAAAACGCGTAGATATTCGAACATTTAAGGCCTTTCTTTTTGTTGTTTCTTCCTTCTTGTTTTCTTTGTTTGCTTGTGCATTTCAGTTTCTCTTTGCTTTTGCTTAATTATCCAGTTGTTAACTTACAGGTTATTTATTTATTCATGTATTCGTGTATTCGTGTTTTTTTTTGTTTTTTTTAATCCACCAGTTTATTTATTTTTGCTTCTTGCTGTCGATATCTTCCAAACTGGTTCTCCTTCACTGTTTTATTTATTTTATTTTATCTTTCTATCTCCAGTTTGTCAGTCTTTTTCCTTCCTTTCGTTTTATTCATGTTTTCGTTTACATTTTCATCATTCTTTAATCTAAGGGTGACAGAGTGTAAATGTTCTGCGATATTTTAAGCAAAGAGTGTTCTCATATGCTTGAAGTGTGTAGATTTACCGGAGAATATTTTCAGATAATTCGTTAATAAAAAGATTTTAAAGAAAATGCCTTGTATCACTGACATACAGAGTCGCCTTCACAAAACGTTTATTCGGGACACAAGTTATGAGAATAAACAGCTACACATACCTCAGCAGTTGAAGCTACGGACACATTTTAGTATTGTATAAAAAGGCTATGAATGAGAATGAATGACCCAAGCATAGATCGCGCATATTGACGTGTTCGGACTGAATGTTCCACCAGAATTAGGTCAGTTAGGTTTATTTCGTAAACATGATCAATAGCTTTCGTTCAAACATTTTTTTTTTTTTTTTTTTTTACTACGCTTGTCCCAGTACCACGAGGTTCTTCTCAAGCTGCCGTACTCGTGGTCTACTGAGAGGACTCGGGGTAGGTCCGGGCAGTCTGTTAAGCAGGCCTGAACACGATGAGGTTCCGGAGCGACTAAGGTCAGTGTCCTGTATCTGTGGAGGATGGTGTTTGGGGGGGGGGTAGCTTCCTTTAGGGGGGTCGTGGGGACGCAGCTCCCTGCAATATGACAGGTTCTCTTCCTATGTTTCACTGCATCGTGCGTATTCTCGTTCATGTTCTTATCCCGCAATATTCGTGACAAACTCCATGCCCTCTCCTATTATCGGGACCGAGATCGTGGGTATAAGGGTGCCTCGCAAGAGTGAAGCAAAAACGTCGTCGTGAAGCAAAACGCGTAGATATTCGAACATTTAAGGCCTTTCTTTTTGTTGTTTCTTCCTTCTTGTTTTCTTTGTTTGCTTGTGCATTTCAGTTTCTCTTTGCTTTTGCTTAATTATCCAGTTGTTAACTTACAGGTTATTTATTTATTCATGTATTCGTGTATTCGTGTTTTTTTTTGTTTTTTTTAATCCACCAGTTTATTTATTTTTGCTTCTTGCTGTCGATATCTTCCAAACTGGTTCTCCTTCACTGTTTTATTTATTTTATTTTATCTTTCTATCTCCAGTTTGTCAGTCTTTTTCCTTCCTTTCGTTTTATTCATGTTTTCGTTTACATTTTCATCATTCTTTAATCTAAGGGTGACAGAGTGTAAATGTTCTGCGATATTTTAAGCAAAGAGTGTTCTCATATGCTTGAAGTGTGTAGATTTACCGGAGAATATTTTCAGATAATTCGTTAATAAAAAGATTTTAAAGAAAATGCCTTGTATCACTGACATACAGAGTCGCCTTCACAAAACGTTTATTCGGGACACAAGTTATGAGAATAAACAGCTACACATACCTCAGCAGTTGAAGCTACGGACACATTTTAGTATTGTATAAAAAGGTATGAATGAGAATGAATGACCCAAGCATAGATCGCGCATATTGACGTGTTCGGACTGAATGTTCCACCAGAATTAGGTCAGTTAGGTTTATTTCGTAAACATGATCAATAGCTTTCGTTCAAACATTTTTTTTTTTTTTTTTTTTTTTACTACGCTTGTCCCAGTACCACGAGGTTCTTCTCAAGCTGCCGTACTCGTGGTCTACTGAGAGGACTCGGGGTAGGTCCGGGCAGTCTGTTAAGCAGGCCTGAACACGATGAGGTTCCGGAGCGACTAAGGTCAGTGTCCTGTATCTGTGGAGGATGGGGTTTGGGGGGGGGGTAGCTTCCTTTAGGGGGGTCGTGGGGACGCAGCTCCCTGCAATATGACAGGTTCTCTTCCTATGTTTCACTGCATCGTGCGTATTCTCGTTCATGTTCTTATCCCGCAATATTCGTGACAAACTCCATGCCCTCTCCTATTATCGGGACCGAGATCGTGGGTATAAGGGTGTTTCCTCGCAAGAGTGAAGCAAAAACGTCGTCGTGAAGCAAAACGCGTAGATATTCGAACATTTAAGGCCTTTCTTTTTGTTGTTTCTTCCTTCTTGTTTTCTTTGTTTGCTTGTGCATTTCAGTTTCTCTTTGCTTTTGCTTAATTATCCAGTTGTTAACTTACAGGTTATTTATTTATTCATGTATTCGTGTATTCGTGTTTTTTTTTGTTTTTTTTAATCCACCAGTTTATTTATTTTTGCTTCTTGCTGTCGATATCTTCCAAACTGGTTCTCCTTCACTGTTTTATTTATTTTATTTTATCTTTCTATCTCCAGTTTGTCAGTCTTTTTCCTTCCTTTCGTTTTATTCATGTTTTCGTTTACATTTTCATCATTCTTTAATCTAAGGGTGACAGAGTGTAAATGTTCTGCGATATTTTAAGCAAAGTGTGTTCTCATATGCTTGAAGTGTGTAGATTTACCGGAGAATATTTTCAGATAATTCGTTAATAAAAAGATTTTAAAGAAAATGCCTTGTATCACTGACATACAGAGTCGCCTTCACAAAACGTTTATTCGGGACACAAGTTATGAGAATAAACAGCTACACATACCTCAGCAGTTGAAGCTACGGACACATTTTAGTATTGTATAAAAAGGTATGAATGAGAATGAATGACCCAAGCATAGATCGCGCATATTGACGTGTTCGGACTGAATGTTCCACCAGAATTAGGTCAGTTAGGTTTATTTCGTAAACATGATCAATAGCTTTCGTTCAAACATTTTTTTTTTTCTTACTACGCTTGTCCCAGTAGACTGCCCGACATTTTAACTCCATGTACCTTTGCGTGGGAAACGAAACCTGTTCAAACACGATAGTACTACAGATCTCTCATTCTTTGTTTACGACCATCGACTTGCATTGATTTATTTTTTCTTTCTCTTTGTCACAGTAGACCGGCGCTGACGTTCTTCTACACCGAAGAATTCTACATGTTTTCTAATCTATGTTCATGACGTACGGTAGAAAACGCGTCACTCTTCTTACGTTTAATATTTCGTAGAAACTACAGTTTAGGATTTATTTTAATAAGATACTTGTAATAGAAAATACCACAAGATCGAAATACAATATAATAGATAGTTCGATTTGATGCGCATAGGAATTGATAAATATATTGTTAAATTTCCATATTGATAATCAGAATTCATTCAGAAGTCTAAAGAAATATACGCTCCACCATTCTATCCTTTATATTCCTCTGAAAACACAATAATAACCTAATTCTACATTTATTCTACATAAACACCTTGCGTGGGCGTGTGGGAAACGAACCTACACGAACACGGCTGAACTTCGGCGGTCTCATTCCCCGATTATGGCCATCGACCTATATAGATTTTTTTTCTAGCGTTTGCCATAGTAGACTCTATTGTATAATTAATCACCATACACGAACGAACTTGTTCAAACACGGCGAAAGTACGACCATTGATTGACCTGTATAGAACATATTTTGTACAAAAAGTTTCACCAGCTTTTTTTTACTTTCGTGTTGTTATTGACACCTTTATTATAAATTGCAGTAGCGCTTGGTAATGATCGACTGCTTATTGGGATAATTAGCGTGCCTCGTTAATGTGACAGACAAAGTGAAACATCGATCATATGGATAAACACCTGGCGTATTGCAATGGCCTATCTCTTGTTTGTCTGTGTACTTGCATTATCTGTTTGTCTTCCTGTTTGCACATTTACTTATCTGTTTACCTAATTATCTACTTATCTACCCATATCTATCTACTGACCGATTTAGTCAAACTAAACCCTATCTGTTCATCTAGTCAACTATGTATCTATCTACCTACCTACCTACCTTCCTATATACCTACCTATCTATTTGTCTATTTCACCTACTATTTCAGTAGGTGGATAACCTACTTATCTGTCTTTCTATCTACATATATCTATCTTATTAATTCTCTCTCTCTCTCTCTCTCTCTCTCTCTCTCTCTCTCTCTCTCTCTCTCTCTCTCTCTCTCTCTCTCTCTCTCTCTCTCTCTCTCTCTCTCACACTCCTCACCCTTTCACTATATATATATATATATATATATATATATATGTGTGTGTGTGTGTGTGTGTGTGTGTGTGTGTGTGTGTGTGTGTGTGTGTGTGTGTGTTTGTATATATATATATGTATATATATATATATATATATATATATATATATATATATATATATATGTATGTGTGTGGGTGTGTGGGTGTATGTGTGTGTGTGTGCGTATACATACATACATACACATGTGTGTGTGTGTGTGTATGTTTATACACACACACACATATATATATATATGTGTGTGTGTGTGTGCGTGCGTGCGCGTGTGTCTATTTATATATATATATATGTGTGTGTGTGTGTGGTGTGTGTGTGTGTGCGTATACATACATACATACACATGTGTGTGTGTGTGCGTATACATACATACATACACATGTGTGTGTGTGTGTTTGTATATATATATATATCTATATATATATATATATGTGTGTGTGTGTGCGTATACATACATACATACACATGTGTGTGTGTGTGTATGTTT